GAAAATCGTCAAATTTTCTGCCCGATACATTTGTCTGCTGTTTTGGGGCAAACCATCACAGATGGGCGACATTTCATCAAGTTTCACCCCGGAAGAATATGATTTGATGGATTTTAGGTCCTCAAAGTCGACCGAACTGGGTGATTTTTGTCCGCACCCGACCTAGGATTTTCGCTCCCAGGACCCCATTTTTGTCTGCGCTGGGCCTAGGTTTGAGGATCAAAATCCCAAAATTTGTCCGCACCCTGACCCTGCCTTTGACAGTGTAATCAGGGGTCCTGACTGGCCAGGGTTTCCTCTTTTCTCCATCGTGTTTACAATCTGCAGGGTCCGGGATTCAACGTCAACATTGTTTTGCTTCCCACGAAATTCCCGTGTGTCCCTATTGTACGTCAGCTTCGGCGATGCCTTAAAGATCCTCATTCATATGCAATTTCGGCACTCGCCCGTCCATTTATTGCCCTTGACCTCTCCGCACTATAGTATTTTTTCTGTTCGTGTTCATACCGGCTATGGGGGAGTACGATCAAACTATCGGTTCGTTCTACATTGCTTGGTTCATTTCGCGGCTAACAAGGTCTTCACCTTTACTTTCCAGGGCTTACCCTGATGGGTGTGACCGGTGAGTTTCTGGCTGCCTCCCCGCTGAAAGAACCCTGAGTGTATAACTTCAGTCAACACGTACCTCACGGGGTTAATCATGTCCCAGTTTTTTACATACTGGATTGCAAGTGCGTTTTCTGGCGATTCTTGATCCACACATTTCGAATCCCAAATCTGGAAATGTCTTAGGGTACCAAGATCCATGGTGGATCAAGTAACCAATTCCTTGTCTGTCGTTCGCGCAACCTCATGAAGTTGCAGATTATTGGTGGCTTTTTTGTTCATAGTCAACACTACCCAGGCTGGTGCCGTCGTGTACATGTCGTGGTAAATGTCTCAAAACGTCGCTGGATCGATTGTTGACTGTTATTCCATCCAGGTTCTACTGTATTACGTTCGTAAGACATTTGAGAGCGATGGTGGGGGAGCTCATCTATTTGTATAGGAACTTTGCAAATCCTCGAGTGGTTGCCAGTAAGAATTCTTTACCGCAGAAGAGAGCCCATCTGAATCCGTTTATTCAGTGATTCCATGGCCGCATCCCTTCTCAGGTCTTAGTAAGACAAAGCCCATTCGCCTCATTCATACTCAACCCCTTACAGTAGGGGCCATCCTCGCAATCACAAATCAAATGTTACAATCGTGGAGGATATATTTGTTCACCAGAAACAAAATTCTCACCGGGTTTTTGGTGGTAACCTCTGTGGCGGCCTGTGGAATGGGCGTTGCCGCTGCAATCGAGGCGTGGACATTTTCCGAGTGCGTACATACCTTCCTAACGGCGCGACAGTTATCGGGACCAATGTCATTTCAACGCTACAGACAGGCCCCTGGCAAGCTCGTATTGTTGCAGTCAATTGTTATGGTCAATTCTGCGCTTCAGTGTGCCATCGACGTGATCATCACTGGTGAGCTGTATCTATTCCTTGTTGCATGACACTGCGGGCTAAGGTCCTAATTTGAGTTGTGCTCACCGTTGTTTACACAAAATCGAAAACGACGTTCCCAAGGACGGATAAGGTGTTCGATCGCCTGATTCGTACCGCAGTGCGATCAGGTTTCTTCACCGGTGAGTAGTCTGGCGCTCCATAGTGAACCATCTAACGTAGTATCAGCCGTATTTGCACTGGGAACCCTCTTTTCCTTCCGCTTCTCGGCTGACACGTACATGTTGACGCTGTTTACCCTCCCAATCGGGCGAATTTACACACATGTTAGTCTCCGTATTCCAAGTGAACAGATAACGCTAATATCCCTCTTTGTCGTTCCAGACAATAATGGATCATTTCGTAAGCCGTGAAAAGCTTCGGGACACTATAAACTCCTCTATAATATAAGAGTCTATACTAGAAGAATGGGACGGGGACTCGCCCAGCCCTATCATCAGTACGCGAGTCCCATCGAGGAAAAGAGATCGCCGTTGGACGGACCATCAACAGGCCATCACCGCCATCACCGTCGGCAAGTCACGGGCATCATTATGTGACCATTATCACACGAAGTCTCACCACTGCATTCCTCGAGTCGCGCGCGGCGTGGTGTAGACAGAAATATTATGCGGGACTTCTGACTCGTGGATATTAATTTTAGAGTAGTAATTACCACCTTACTCATCTACCTCCCGGCCGGCATTCAAGTATTCCGAGTCATGAAATGATACAGTATTTATCGACACTCACGCCTGTGAGCCTTGAGGGCCTCCAGACCGGAGCAACCAGGTAAAAGATTGCATTGAGTGTTATTCATGGTTGAACCTGACGCTGTATTGAAGGAACATGTCAGGTCATATCGGACACCGCAGTTGACGAAAGTTGAATTCCATAATATTTACTCTTCATAAAGTTGAATTTGGGAACGCGGTTCTTCGCGTGGAGGAGCCGCGCGTGGAGCGCCAGCGAGGGACCAGCTTATAGAGCCGCGCGGGTGAGGTCGCCGCGATCCTCGGGGAGATGGGCTGCGTCGGAATGGAATTATGGAGCGCCGGTGATCTCGCGTGTATGACGGTTCGTTTGTACAAATAAAGATTTGCGCGCGCGCGTGTAATTTAGCGCGCGCGCGACTGTTGGGAGTATGTATAGATAATAAGCATCATAAGATTACACACGAGTGGTATCTAATACCTGTCTAATACATGCCTACTAAGCCCTCTACGTCGAGCTTGGGGGTATCAAAAGAAAGCATTCCTGAAATTCACGCCCTGTCAGAAGTCACTTACATGAATTCTGAAGGTGTCAGAGGCCCGGGAGGCAGATATTCTCAGACCCGGGGCTAGTCAAAGGACTCAGATCGCATTTAGCCTACTCAGATGAAAAGGACAGAGGAATCCTTCGACCAGCGAGGTTAAAACTTACCTGCCAATGTGATCGCCTCTATCCAACAAAGGCAACGGGGGCCCTGGTGCAGGTCAGGCCCGCATGTGTCTGGAAGCTTGAGAGCGGCCACGAGGGCGGGAGGGTCGGGTGACAGGCGGGGGAGACGCAAGGGATCGGAGAAAAAAGGATGATGGGAAGAGGTGCGGATCACTGACCGCTTGTTTAGCGCTTGTTCCGATCGTGGGAATGTTTGTTCTTGCTTCGGCCAGGCCCTTAGCCGATGGCTGCGTCACCATCTTTTATCCTCTCCCACCTCACCGCCCACCGCCCACATTGCTCTCGACGCACATCAGCCGCTGGTGTGCGGCTTTACTTCGTTGTCTAAGTTGCTGCCAGCTCCGCATCCCCCACATCTCGATGCCATTGACATAGCTTGGTGATGCAGACTGCAGCTCCCGATCCTTCGCTAGCGCTCGCATGGAGCAGGCCGGGGTTTAGCAGGGTTTAGCTTGCCGGGGTTTAGCTTAGTAATATGCATGTACCTTACGTAGCGACTTATGCGCGCGCGCGCGCGCAAATTTGTTGGCGCGCGCGCAAAATTAATATTTGTACAAACGAACCGTCATAGCGTGCGGGGGCGACGCAGCGCGCGTATCGCTGCGATCGTCAGGGGAATCTATTCCGACTGCTGCTCCCGCCTCTGTATGCACCTGTGATCTGCCAGCTCGGCGCACTCTTCCTCGAGCTGGATGCGTACAGGCTCGAAAACCCGCACGTCTTCGGAGCGCGACCCGAGCGAGAAGCGGTGCTTGAACTTCATCAGGCATCATGGACGGGCGGTCCATTTCCTCCGGGCTTGGGGTGATTTGTCAGTAAGGTGCCTCCACCTGCGTTGCGGTCCTTCAACTTGACCTCAAGTGTAAGCTGACAGCGGAGCCAGTGCTGACGGATGGCGCGCCATACCAACCCCGCATGCCGCACACCCGGAGACGGCGGCGCGTTCGCCGTTTGTTGCGCGTGTGGCTCGCGGGTCGGTGCAACAATGTCCACCAATTCTCAAGTTTCAAAGCGCTAGAGTAACCTATCAAGTCCCCGATGTCCCTGATCTGTGCAGCTACGTAGCTCTAGGTCCCGTTGGGGGCTTCTACGCCCGCTGCAAATTACCCGTTCGTCCGTGTTAAATGGGAAGGCCTCAGAAGCACCTGTAGACTGACTTTCATTTTCAAAGTACACCTAAACTAAGGATGATATGGAAAGCGCAGGATCAGATCGACGAAGATGTGGCGCAAAATATTCTCCAGGTCTCAAACATTTCGCGGGTTTCAATCGATCTAAGCGCGCGAAATCAAGGTGAGGGGGCGCAACATATTCTAGTTCTCAAATATTTAGGGAGTTTCAGTAGAGGTTGACTTTCCCTACGCACGCTATTTCATTGAGCCCGCCAGGCCGGATCCTATACTCTAACAGTCGGCTGCATGTGCTGGTTTGGCACCGAGATCATTGAAAATCGCTGCTCGAACCCGTTTCTTGTGTTCCTTCCCCTGTTTCGAAGCTGGTGGGGTGTTAGAAAATCGGCGAGCCAAGGAGTAAAACCGAGCAACAATTAATCAGAGCAGTACCTCGGATCGAACGAGAATCTCGGGAAGAAGTGGGGATGACACCAATAAGAGACCTTATGTGGCTTACACCGTGACTACTTTCCTTGGCCTGTTTCAAACTCCAGGGGGTGCTGTAAATCGGCGAGCCAAGAAATAAAACGTGCAACGATTCACCAGATTCGAATGAGGACCTCGAGGCCAATCTTCCACACCTTTCTAAAGGGAGCCCCGTGCACACAATACTCCATACTGCTGTCTGGATCCTGTTTCAAGGTTGGTGAGGTGTATTAGCAAAATCCTTCAGTTGAGGCATAAAAACCGACCAGTCTGCCATACTTAGCAGCACCTTGAGTTGAACGAGAACCTTGGGGCTAATCTGTGCACGATACACCATACTACGTGTTTTACCTAGTTTTGAAGTTGGTGAGGTGCTAGCAAAATGGTCGGCGAGAAACGAGACAAAAAAGATCTAATGCGAGTCGCAGAAGAGCAGCACCTCGAATCGAACGAGGGCCTCAGGATTAATTTCTAGATCGACACAATTACACTGTACAGGAACCCTGTGTGCATGATACACCATACTACTTTCCCTGTCCAGTTTTGCAGTTGCTTTAATACCAAAAAAATCGGGAGCAAGGGGATAGAAATGGTCGGTGAGCAAAGGAATAAAAATGATGCTACACTCGAAGAGCAGTACCTCGATTCGAACGAGGACCTTGGGGTTGATGGATCTTCACTTTCAACCCGACACGGGAGCCCCGAGTGCACGATACACCCTCCTGCTTTCTTTATCCGGATTTGTGGTTGTTGGGGTACTAATAAATTGGTGAACTGTGGGTCAAAAAAAGTTTGACCCGCACCGAAGATTGTAGCCCCATTCAAACGGGGGCCTCGGGGATAACTGGTGACAGACACCGCCAAGGGAGCCTCATTGCACAATACACCATACCACTTCCCTTGTCCTATTTTGCACTTGGTTTTGTGAGAAAGAATGGGTGAACTGGAGAATTTTTAAAAAAAGTTGACACAGCCTCCCTAGAGCCTGAGCAGCACCTCGAATCGAACGAGGACCTTGAGGTTAATCTTCTGCGTGATCATGCTAAGGGAACCCCATGTGCACGATACACCATGCTACTTTCCTTCGACTGTTTCGAGGGTCGTGGGGTGCTATAAAATCGGTGAGCAAAGAAATGAAAAATCTCACAACAGGCTACCGACTCAAAGCTGTACCTCGATTCGAACGAGGCCCTCGGGGTTAATTTTCGTGGAAAGCCGAATGAGAACCCCATGTGCGCAATAGACCATACTGCTTTTTCCCTCTGTTTTGCAGTCGCTTTAGTGCTTGCAATCGGTGAGCCAAGGAATGAAAATTACTCAGGAAAAGAAATAAAAATGATGTAGCTCTAGACTCAGAGCAGCACGTCGAATCGAACGAGGACCTTGAGGTTAATCTTCTGTGAGATCATTCTAAGGGAACCCCGCGTGCACGATACACCATATTACTTTTCCTGTCCCATTTTACCCGTGGCAGTATACTAGACAATTCTCGAGGGCACCAAAAAAAGGATTCCGATTGTCCTGCAACAGAGTAGCACCTCGATTCGAACGAGGACCGCGGGGCTAATCCTTGGAACACGGCATACAAGAACCCCGCGTGCACCATACTGCTATTCCTGTCCCATTTCACCCGCGGTAGTATACTAGACAATTCTCGAGGGGAACCAAAAAAAGGCTCCTAAACAGAGCGGTACCTCCAATCGAACGAGGACCGGGGCTGGTAATCTGAAGACAGCGCAACGTAACCTCGTGTGCACGATACACCATACTGCTTTCCTTCCTCTGTTTCTGACTATGTGGGATGCCAGAGAATTGCTGAGCTGGAGATTTTTTAAAAAAAGAGAGGCAACAGAGGAAGAGCAGTACCTCAATTCGAACAAGGACCTCGGGTATAACTGGTGACAGAGACCTATAGAATAAACCCGTGTGCACGGTACACCATACTGCTTTTCTTGTCCAGTTCCCTCCTCTGTAATGTGCTGGCAAAATTATTGAGTCAAAGAATAAAATTTAACCAAGATACAGAACAGTGTGATCCCGATCCGAACGAGATTTCAGGTGCATGATACATCACACTGCTTTACTTTACCCTGTAACACAGGGTCTCTGTTTCGATGAGGCTGAGGTGCGACAAATTGGTGAGCCCCCCCCCCAAAAAAAAAAAAAAACTCAACATACAAGAGCATAGCAGCACCTCGAACCGAACGAGGACCTCGGGATCACTACAATTTAACTTCTGCAAGAGAATCCCGTGTGCACCATACACCATGCCACTTTCTTAACTCCTTTCACAGTTGGTGGAGTCTTAGAAGAATCCCTTCTCGGGCGACGAGGTGTAAGCCACTCTGACGGCAGCCGAGGGTCGGCATCATAGGGCGGCAACACGGAGGACCTCAGGGTCAATTTTGACTGAATTGCTACTAAGAGAACCCAGTGTGCGCAATACACCATACTGCTTTACCTCCTCTGTTTCGCCCTCGTTTTAGTTCTGGGAAATGATTGAGTCAGGGAATAAAATTCTTCGATGATACCCCAGAGCAGTACGCCGATCCGAACGAGGGCCTCATCTCGGGTGCATGATACACTACGCTGCTTTACTTTACCCTGTTTCGATGAGGCTGGAGTGCAACAAGTTGGTGAGTCCCCCCCAAAAAATTGATCTGTACAAGCTCATAGCAGCACCCCGAATCGAACGAGGTCCTTGAGGCTGATTTCGGCCCAGTCTTAAGAGGACCCTGTGTGCACCATACACCACGCCGCTTTCCTTGACTTCTTTCACGGTTGGTAGAGTGCTAGAAAAATCGCTTCTCGGGCGACGAGGTTTAAGCCACTCTAATGGCGAGCGAGGGTCGGCAGCACACGGCAACACGGCGGCGCATCACAGCTCGCACGAACGTGGACGGAACGGGTCGAATGGAGACTGTCAGTATCCGCAGTCCAGTGGAAGTCAGCGCAGCTTACGAGGTGAATCGGAGAACTTGGGCTGAGCTGAAGCAGTGATTCGGAGAAGTGTGAAACCTAGACCGAGCCCGCGACAAGTGAACGCAAAATACTGTATCTGCGAGGGAGTGGAGCGAGTTCGCTAAAGTGAGAGGCCGATCCCGAGGTCGCCGTCGGCAGATGTCATCGGCTTGCAGTAATCACGAGCATGACGCACCGCTTACAATTCTTTTGTTGCCACTCTCTCCCCTTCTTCGTCGTCGGTCCCAACGACAAGACACCGCCGACACCGTCGACGACGACGACGAGCTCACTGCTGCAGACGAGCACCACCTGATATCTAACGAGGGCTTCTGTTACCCATCACGACCAAATCAAGACTACTAAAGGACTCGCTCGCCTCACCGCCATGTCTGCGTCCTCAAGCCGATCCACACGGCGCTCGTCGACCTCGGCCGCGGCGTCGGTGACCCCGTCCCCGTCTGCGAACACCACAAGCTCGTCCGCCCCGTTCAGCTTCTCGCAGACATTTACCGACCCCGTCCCTTCGCTCCCCACCGGCGGCCCCCCTGCCGACCCCAACGCGAACAGCGGCCCGCAGTCCTCTGCCCAGCTCTACCGTGCGTCCCGTATCGCCCTTTTCTTTTACTGCTAATTCTGACATCTCGCAGTATACACATTCCTCGCAACGCTCATCCTCCTCCTCGGCGTCTCCTCCGCGATCGTGGCGCGCTCGCTGCTGCTGCGGCGCCGCCACCGCCGCATGGTCGAGGAGGCGATCGCGAACGGGACGTGGGTGCCCCCGGCTCCGCGTGTGAAGGTCGATCTAAGGAAGAAGCCGCGCCTGTGGGACGCGTACCTCGCGCCGCCAATGAATGTGCCGGTGGGCGGAGGGGGAGGGGAAGGGGAGAAGGATGAGTGGGAGGCTATCATGGTACGTTGCCCTTCCTTTCTTTTCATGCATCCACATCTGCGCTCGATACATCACCCCGTCGGGACACGGCGCCCCTTCGCGCTGCGTCCCATTCCCTCCCGTGCTCATCCAACCCTTCCGTTCTCTTTCCTTCCTCGCAGTCTCCCCGCTTCCCTCCCTTCCCGTTCTTTGCCGCCTGCGTTGCCTCGAATCCCCTGTGCTCCCCGCCGGCATTTCACTCCCCACATCCCCACATCGTCATGGCTGCTTCCTTCCTCTCCGCATCTGCATCGCTCCTTCCTTCTCCCCGCAGTCTCATCGCTGCATACGCACGGGCGCAGCCCTCCTTCCCTTCTTCCTCCCTACGTTATCCTTGCGCCCCCCACATCCCCACATCGTCACCGCTACTTCCTTCCTCTCCGCATCTGCATCGCTCCTTCCTTTGTCCCCGCATTCTCGTCGCTGCATACGCACGCACGCAGTCCTCCCCTTCCTCCTCCCTCCGCGTTTGCGTTTGCGTTCCCTTACTGACGCTCCCTCCCCAGCCATTCGCAGCGTCGTACACGCCGCCCTCGCCCTCACCCTCGCACGCCCCGCCTCCCTCTACCGCCTCCCTTCCCTCCGCTTCCGCCGCGTCCTCCCCATCACCGTCACACCCGCTCGCCGGCGCAAACGCACTAAAAGGCAAAGCAGCAGACCAGGAGGAAGTAGAGCTAGAGCAGCCGCACGTGCGCGTCGCGGTGCTTATCGCTATGCCCGTGCCGCCTCCGCCTCCTACTTCCTCCAATCCGCCCTCAGCGTCACATACACCGACGACACCGCAGCGCCCGACGTGGGCGGCCCTCGGCGTGGGGCTGGACGCAGACGGCGAGCCAATGCTGCCCCAGCTCGAGGTGGGCGTCGTGAGCGTGGGTGTCGTGCCGTCTGCCGAGGCGGATGAGGGGGCGGGGAGCAATGGGGGGAAGGGGAAGCAGGGCGGAAGTGGGGAGGGGAGTGTGGAGTAAGTAAGCCTCTGCGCGGGAGAGGCGAAGGGAGGGTGAGGAGAAGGAGAGGGGAGGAAAAATTTTAGACGATGATATTTAAGACTAACGAGTGTATGGTGTATATATATATAATATGTACATATGGGTTGACGTTTCCTTAACGCTTTAGAGGAGAGACGTGCATATGTGAGGAGAGTGGGCTTTGGGGCCGCGCGGTGATCCGAGTCATCAATTGGCGAGCCTTCGAGTCAAGCCTCTCGGTGTACCGTGACACCTGTCTCCTTTTCTTCGACTCTCTTCGACTGCACTCTTGGGTTCGGTCGGCCTCGCTAGCGCTGCTTGCACGCTTGGCCCTCGCGAAGATATATAGCATGAGTCCGACTCGGATTCGGGCGGCTTCCCTAAGGTCTCGAGACTCAAATTGCGCCGGCGCCACGGCGGTGATCAATGTGAAGGCGAACGCGCTCGCGGCTGGATTCATGGGCACGGGCAATGCTCGGAGCTCGTCAGGCAGCCAGGTAGGCACTGCGACTCGGAAGCCCGAGGGAAGACGGGACCCAGGAGACGGAGGATGGAATGCTGGAAGACTCGGAGGCAAGACACGATAGCCACGCTCTGAAGCGCAGCGCAAGGAGTTCTCGTTTGCGTTTGGTGTCAACTTGAAGGGCGACCGCGAACGGGCCTCGTGGCTAGCCTGAGTAGGTCGAAGGGCCCAACTTTTGGCGCGGAGTCAAGATCGCAAAACTCAGAATCGGTCGGGGTCCCGCGTGCGCTCTGCTTCTCGCTCAAACCGCACCGCCGACGGGCGTCCTTGCGCGCGGCGGCGTCGTATTCTTGCCAGGTCATCTTCACCCTGCAACTGCAAATGGCTTGGAGGCGTGCCTGTACTGGTCGTGTGGGCTGCGCTCTGCGGACTACCGGTATGTGTGCGTGACTCGGCGGATCTCTGCAAGTCTGTCTAGGCGCGGACAGGCGGAGAGCGCTCGCGTCTCCATAACGCGAAACTCGGGCATTCTGACTCCTCAACGGAACTTCTGGAGGTTTTGGCTCGCAAGGAAGCTCGGCATCTTTGGATGAAGGCTACAGTGGGGGACAGTCAAACTCATCAACTTTCATGAAGGTTATAGTAACTCCCCGGAGTTGATCGGGATGTAAAGTAGACCTTATGGAGGTCCTTGTGAATTTTTTTTAGCCTGATCCCACGAGCCGTTCCTGAGATATAGATGTATTTGTTGTTGTCGACCTTCCAAACAATGGCCACACCCAAAAACCTATATTAAAATCATGAAAATATTCCTATAGACTCTTTTCAATGAGCTGAGTATGATGCCAATGTTTTCAAAAAATTCCAACGAACGGATCCTTCAAAAATAGCCTGTGAATTCTGTGTCACAGGTGTCACTGTCACCTTGTCACCTGGTTCAACTTCGGAGAAGCAACAAAATCCGGCCCGCTCTCTTGCATTTCTGGTTGTCACCTGGTTCAACTTCGAAGAAGCAACAAAATCCGGCCCGCTCTCTTGCATTCTTGGGTCACATATAGCTGCCTGTCGATCAGTAGTGCATCCTGACTCCCCCCATCATGCCTCCCAAGAAGAAACAGACCCGTAACATTTCTGGCTTGAAAAACCAAGGTGCAAAATCAACTCAATCCCCTATTCCTGATATTCCACTGGATCCTACAACTCCTCCCTCCCCACCAGTAAACCCCAAGCATAAAAATACAGCTCATGTCGGGCCAAACACTGAATTTCGCCCTACTATACACTTTGACAGCTTACGAGTGGACTGGAGCCAGGAAGAGCAAGATACTGACAAATCAGACATAGACTCAGAGCTTGAGTCTGGTGATGATTACGAGTTCAACACTGAAGACGGGCTCGATGCTATGAAGACATTATCCAAGAAGCTTGCTTATGATGATCTTGAATGGCTGCCCCCTAGAGATGCTCGTAGGCAATTGGAAAGGAAAGGTTAGGCTTAAATCTCCTCTCCTCATCAACGTAATGATTGATATTTGACACTCAGAGCGACCAAAAACATATGCAACTGGTCCAGATATCTTGAAGAAAGCTCTTCGAACTCAACGGCGCTACAGAAAAGTTATGATAACACAGACTCGACTTGATGGCTTTCTGTCTGCACCCAGATCTGCACCATCCTCAGCTCCTGTAACAAGATCTCCAAGCCCAGTGCTTGAAGCTGAGCCTGAAATGGATGTTGATATATCTTCTACAGTTCCCAGGATTCGTAGGGCCTCTGCAAGTCCTGAGCAGAGTGCAGGGGAAGAAGATCCAATTGCAAGTGTTGAAGTTGAAGAAATTCCTCCTGGTTCTGCAACTCCTTCTAGTGGAACACAAACCCCTCTCCAAGAGAACAGTGATGGGGGGGACAGTGATGTTGAAGATGAAGAACTTGAAAAGGAAATCCAGAAAGAAAT